TCTTAATGCTCTTTTACCCAGTGTATTTCTAATCACTTGAATTGAAAACGGTAACACCTCTACAGAGATGCTTATATTATGAAAATAAATCATTTGGAATATATGCAAAACTTCTGACCACTGAGCGGATCGAACGCCCAACCTTTCGATCTGGAGTCGAACGCGCTACCATTGCGCCAAGCGGTCACGTTGCCGACGAACTGAACACTCTTGACATTTCAGAGGATTCGACCTCGGCAATCACTTCTGCGAATATGCTTACGATTACAATTGTGACAAACCGCCCTATTACAAGGTGTATGACGATATGTTCGATGTCGTTTATGAGAGAAAAAGCTTTTGTGAGGCCTATTTGGATGAAGTTTATAAGGTGAGTGCAGGTTTAAGATGAATACGAGTGTAGCTTCAAGAGGCAGCTTCGTTGCTAGCATAAATATTACTAAATTCTAAGCTTAAACTAATTTTCTACTTGATTTTTCTTCTATAAACATCTTTATCAAGGGAAATGATTGCGAGTCGTTTCAACCAAAGTATTTTTCATCATCTGCCATGAGATTTTCCAGTCTTTATGACGAATAAGCGATCTGTCGCCATAAGTCGATGCCAGTTTGAAACGAAAACCTCTGAACGCTCTTCTTCTGCTTTTAGACGTCGTGCATTATCGATTCCGAGATGACTAGAAGGTCCTATCTTGGTGGGTACCCTGGGTGTGGAAAAAGTTTTCGAGCTCAAAAACTTTCTGACTTTTCCGAGGTTTTCTGACTGTTGACTTGTTTGAGTACTCGCTGAGCTGAAGATCAATCATAGTAAGGCCCGCGAAATTATTTAGATTTTCGTAGTAACTCCATTTGCTATCGATCCACTCAAAAACTTTCCTTCCCTCCACATATCCCATCAAAAGTTCTATCTTTGACATGAAAAAAGGCGTGCTGCTTTGCTTTGCTTGCTTCGCCAGCTTTCCTAAATCGTTTGCTATCCCAAAAGCGGGAGCAATCCATCGAATTAGTAATTTTTTCACGAATTCTGAAACGAGAGTGCGTCCCAATAGGAATTTAGGGGGTTCATCAATGAACACCATACCGATGTCCCATTAGGTTAGAAGAGTCTACAGTCAGAGACGCGAAGCTGCACTAACAACGAGATTGAATCTTAACTTAGGCAAAACTGTATGTTATACCTTTCGGGATAAATGAAAACCGGAGATTCCCCGGAGAGAGAACATTCTGGTTCGCTCTTATCGCAAATATCAAAAATATATGAATTACCTGACCGATTACTTCTACATTCAAGAAAGTCGGAGAAAAGCAGGAAGAGTTGCAGAATTTCGGACATGATCCTATTGAAAACATTTCAGATGCGCGATGCCGGTAACAATCCTCATTTCCCATCTGATCTCGTGACCGGTGACAGAGAAGCCGATCTTGAACGTCTTATCACCGAATCGACACTGTTTATGGCTGTAGCCAACATGTATTGGACCTGTTGGGCGTTTGTGAACGCCGAGGCGAGTTTCAGATTTTCGTCCCAGGAACAGTGTTCATTGCGCACCTCTTAAAAGAACCACGTTCGCTCACGGTGTACCAATTTACTGGTTGTGTTCCAAGGCCTACAGTTTTCCATTCAATGTCCTTGCAGCTTTCCTGGAGCATTTGACTAGGCAGTTTACGCGCTTGAAGGTTCCGAAATTATTCGGACTGATGGTGTGCTACTATGGTTTCTGTGGGGTATTTAGGATGTGAACACCCTACAGTCTGTAAGCTATGAAGGAAGCAAAAGAAAGGCCGTAAGCTTGTAAGAAAGGGCGGCGCCGATGCTTTCCCTACTGGAATTATCGAAACGGAAGGGTAAATGGTAGTCTTTTGACGTTAGTAAATTCCGCCTGAGGGATGCGCTCCGGCTTCGACTTCCGTTCAGAATCGTTGTGTTATTGAATGCGTAGGTGGCCTATACAATGAGTTGCGGTGGCCAGCCTATGTACAACTCAATGTCTTTATCTTCCCAAAGGAGCCTGGTACTAATCAACGACCTCGGAGGTATGGAAGGGATGGCTCACCTAGGAAGCATACCGATCCGGTATTCAAACATGTGATCATGCGTGTGAGATAGTACGCCACTTGCCACTAAACCACCTTCATTGAAACGTACATTGAAACAGAGAAACAAAAATATTAGTGGGCTCCTTCCATTCTGCAGCCAATCGGAACTTCGACCAGTGGGCGGAGGCTACTTAGGTAGGATTGGATCTCGGGTACTCATACCCTATAAACGGCCTAGCAATCCAACGTCTTACATTTCTCAAAAGCTCCTAATCCCTCACCTATCCCTAGACGATTTTTTTGCAAACCATCCAGTTTCACTGAGATTTCCAGATAGAAGCATGTTTGCATTGCTTTCAAAAGCTCTGACGTATAAAATTTTCCAATTACAGGATTCGGTGATTCCATTCGACTATGGCTCGTATGCACGTGATCGACTAGCCCAATATTTTCATCAAAAGAAAGCACTTCAACACTATATAGACACCCACTGACTGATTAATTAGATCTGACCATCGACTATGAAAAAAATATTTGGGAACATATTGGTACAAGAAAAATTGTTTTCAATCGAATCCCGTTCCGCTTTCGCACTTCCTCCGCAAATGACTCACTTCGCATTACGTTATTGGAGCCCTTTCGGGAATTACATCTACTCATCAACTTCCAAAGATTATTGTCTTACTCCATCATATTAATCCTTATTTCGACTATTTGCCTTTACAGTAGTGGCCTTTCCTGTACGCATTTTTTTCCCTTTATTTATATTGTTTTATAAAAATCATTCCTTACCCAACATAAGGATACATGAACTTCGCATTCTCGTTGCTATCCAAATCAGTGTTGCCTTATGACAGATTCTTATCATTTTATTGTTATTATTGTAACTTTCAATCACCCTCTTGTTAATTGTTGATCATCTGTAAATCCAGATTTCTTTTCTGATGAGGTACATCAGATTTCTTACCAGACAAAGTTGGGGCCTTGTGAATTCATGATGTGATGATGTGATAATTTTTACTCTCTCACAACTCCGGTAATACTGTTGTTCATGAAACAGCTATGACTGCATTCCTATGTAACGATCTTCATTCATAATGTGAAAAACTAAGAGTTTGTTCAAATAAACTTGTATTACTTCATATTTTGCCTTTTGCGAATGAAGGATGGTAAGATAGTCTCCTGATCAGTACCGTTCGTGGAATTCTCCCTAGCATTTGTCTCCCATTTAGAATCGTAATGGCGCACGTTGCTTCTACATTGAAGTACACTGACTTGCTAGCAGGTATACAAGTCAGAGCCAGTAAGGCTGTTCTCCCGCATGAGTCGAGTCCCAATAAAACAACCCAGGAGAATAGAATTCTTGGTTTACCTGGATGGTATCACTTTGATTCCAAGCATCGCAGGGTCTATATAAATGCGTCGTCATCTGTAACCGTTCAGATGTATCCAACATAAGCGTCCTACTCGTCGGCGATAGAACGTTTTTTGTGGATGGTGCACCTTTAACTAGACCGTCTCACTTTTAGAGGGTCAGATACTTTCTCCCCGAAAACCACGTCGCGCCTGCCGCATCCGCCGCG